GAAGGTTGAGAGGTGACCTTGTGGCTGCCTATAAGTTCATCACGGGGGCACAGAAGGGAATTGGTGAGTATTTATTTACCAAGGCGCCCCCGGGGGTTACAAGAAATAATGGCCACAAGCTAGCAGAGAGCAGATTTAGATTGGACATTAGGAAGAACTTCTTCACAGTTCGAGTGGCCAAGGTCTGGAACGGGCTCCCAAGGGAGGTGGTGCTCTCCCCTACCCTGGGGGTCTTCAAGAGGAGGTTAGATAGGCATCTAGCTGGGGTCATCTAAACCCAGCCCTCTTTCCTGCTTATGCAGGGGGTCTATGAATCTATGAATCAGCCAGTGCCTTCCGTACTCTCGGATGGAGCTCATCCGGGCCTGCGGACTTAAACGCATCCAGTTCCTCCAAGTGACTCTGCACCATCTCAGGGTCTACGCATGGCAGTCTGGTGCCTTGCTGCTGCCTCTCTACAATCCCAGTGAGAGACTTGTCTTGCCCCTCACTTAGGAACACTGAGGCAAAGACCTTGTTGAGGAGTTCAGCCTTATCCCCCCTGTCTGTCACCAATTGCTTCTGCCCATTTAGTAGGGGTCCTATTCCTCCCTGGGCCTTCCTTTTACTCCCTATATATCTAAAAAACAATTTCTTGTTATCCTGAACTTGGGATGCCATTCTCAGCTTCATGGTCGCTTTGGCCCGTCTAACTGCCTCCCTACAAGCGCGAGAAGAGGAGGTATACTCCTCTTTGGTAATCTCTCCCTGTTTCTACTTTTTATATGCTCTCCTTGTGGGGGCAGCAAGAGCAGCTCCGCGATGCCAGAGGCACTCAGCACAGCCCTGGCCCTCGCCTGAGACTCTCCGTAGCCCTGATTGTCTGTGGACAAAGGAGGTCTGGCATGTGCTCCAGTCGGGGAGGGCATCTGGGAACAGCTGGAGCTGCTGCCCGCCCCCCCTGTGCCCATCCAGCCCTGCTGGATGGGCCCTAGGCCCAGGGGCAGGGCTGGCTTTGTGGGGCCACCAACCTGCCCTGCTGCCCCTACCCCCTGAAGCCACCCTGTGGAGCAGCAGGGATGGAGGAGACCTGTTGGAGATGGGCTGTGCGCAGACCAGCCTCAGCTCCATCCTCCTCCGGGACTGTGCGTGGAGCAGCTTTGCTGCCCCAGAGAAGCTTGAGTGAGCAGAGACTGAGAACCTGCAGGGCCAAGGGGGCAGAGCGGGGCAATCAGCACCTGCATGGCGCAGCCCCGGGGGCATGAGCAGCACCAGCCCCCAGGCCCAGCCCAGCCGCTGTGTGTGGGAGTGCGTGGATCCTGCAGCCGTGCTCCCCTTGCTGGGCAAGGAGAAAGGGCCCATTTTGCCCACCTTGGCCTCAGCAGCAGGCAGCCTGGCTGGCATGTGGGCGAGTACTGGTGGCAACAGCAGCACCGCACAGGGCACAGCAGTTGTGTCCTAGTATAACAGGCACTTCCCCAGTACCGTCAGGGCCAGAAGCCCCTTGGGACACTTGGGTACATGCTCCACCCAGCACAGATGTGTCTGGTTTTGCGCTTGCAGTTGGAGATCTGTGAAGTGCACAGCTGCTTCTCCTCAAAGTGTGACTTTCCAAATAGAATCTGCTGGAGGAGGCATTTCCCCCTCTGGGACAATGGAGGGGGCAGAGGTGGTTTCTGTAGGGCAGCCTAGCACAGGTGATGTTTGCCAGGCAAATGTTGTTTGCCATCAGGTGAACTATCAGCTGCTGAGTAAGGTTGATGGCGTAGATCCTGGGCCTGGGATGGGACATTACCATGGAAGGTTTGCAGAGCCCTTGGGCTACAGCAACTGACGGTGGTGGCCTCTTTCCTATCACACATTCCTTCCTCTCATCAAAACTGAGCTGGGCCTTACCTCTCCCCTCCGCCTTGGAGGCACTCATGTGGTCAGGAGACCAAAGGAAATAAATGCACAGTTCTAGGGCAGGCCCCTTTGTTTGTGTGCTGCCTCTCTGTAAATCAAAACCCCACAAAGACTGAGGGAAAGTTGGTGACCGTGCACTTTAGTGCCAGAGTGCATCTCCTCACCTTGATGTGACTGCGCAGAAAGAGGTCAGCAGTAAGGGAAATGGCAGCAGAAGCCCTTGGACATGGGTCCAGGGAAGAACAAGTATTGCAAAAGCAGCCCAGCGCTGAACGTCCCAGGGGTTGGAGTCCCCGCTGTTCAGGGGAGCAGAGGACAAAGGCAGGTTCACTGCAGCAGCTTCAGAGGAAGCAAGATGATGCACCAGGCCACGAGGAGTTAGCCTGGGAGAGGGGAAGTTCGCAAATCTCCAAGAACTCATTTATTTTTCTTTATTCAAAATGTAGCCAGGAGCACAACCACTTGCCTCCCTTGCTGTCCAAGCAGGGGCATTTGTTTGCCTCCTTCCCAACTCTAAAAGGGCTGTGGCAGCATGCTTGCCCCAGGACACTGCCTTCATGGAAGGTTTCCTTGAGGGACCTGTTTTCAGACAGCGGGCAATAAGGCAGACACAGGTTGGCTTCACCAAGAGAAATCACTCAAGGATGTCCTGTTCCAGGGCGTGGTGACTAACCGAGTCTAGAGAAATGGGATAGTGCTTTTTAATGATCTTTTTCTCTGTCAGTCTCAAAAACACAGGCTATGGAGACAATCCTGTGCACATAGGGCATCAACAACACAGTAAGGGATGTTTCCAGTGCAGAGTATTCCTGAGCCTTGTTCAGGGCTTGAACTGCCTAGACAGTCTGACAGCTCAGCAGAGAAATCTTTGTATTGATACGCAGAAGAAAACCTAGAATGCTAATAAAATTGCTGCCATGCATGAAAGCATCTATGAGAATGAGAAATGAGAACTCATGCACAAAAGTGTCCGGACACGTCCAGTTCATTTGTGAACATAGTTTCACTTACGTAAATGAGCAGATCCAGATGACCATCCTCATTAACTTGATGATAAGCAGGGATCCTGGCTTTATCTGATACAAAAATCTCCCAATTTTGGATTTAAAAAAGTAACTCCAAATCCACATTTTTCCATGATTAAAATGAAATGTCACTAAGACACAAGCATATAGATAGTGGTGTTCCATTTTAATCATGGACAAATGTGGATTTGGGGTTAAATTTAATCCAAAAATTAGGGATTTTTTTTTTTTAATCAGAGAAAACAAGGATCCCTGATGATAAGCCCCGTTTCAAAAGCCTTGTCATCCCTTTAATGTCTGTGCCTTGACAGTTTTGGGTAAAGAAGCATTTCCTTTCCACATTGGCTTCAAGGGACCCCCAGACTAGAGCTGCTTCCCATTCTGCAGCAGAACAAATCTAGTCCTTGCTTTGTTTTCTGGCCACTTTTCAACCAAGCACAGATGAGTTGTGATTTTGTGTGTGTGTGTGTGTGTGTGTGTGTGTGTGAGATGGGAGGGGAAGGAGAAGGAGAAAGAGGGGCAGAGAGAGAGAGAGAGAGAGAGAGAGATGCCCCAGCTCAATGGTTAAAATAGAAATACAGACATTTTCTCTAGCACTGTTTACCATAGCGAGTTTGCTTTGCTTGATCCCAGGTCTCTCTCTCATTTGAATTTGAAAGTACAAAAAACTCCCTGTTCAGAGTTTCTAGTTTTACATTTGCAGAGTCATTTATTGCAAATGTGTGTATGTTGTGTGTGCACATGTCTGTCTGGATCAGTCTCTACAGACAGGTAGCGTACACACCCAATCCAGACCTGGTTTTGCAGCTAGATGCTATTAAAACACCAGTTGTACCTTTGATGCTGCATTGGTGTTTTAATATATATTGGTAGGATTTAAATGCATAAAGTTTCACATTTGGCCTGAAATTGCGAGATGCTGTTGAAATATGATTTTAGATTTGATGGTTTTTATAATTTTACAGGGAATCCATTTATTTACATTTTCTATTTCTTGAAGATGATGAAGAGGAGGAGGAAGAGGAAGAAATGGATAAAATGGATGTGGTGACAGAGGAGGAGAGATGCTTCTCCGCCAACGAGGCCGTTACTACTTTTACCATTCTGCCCTAAAAGTGCCACCTTCACATCAGTGCGGATGCAGCAGAATGAACTGATTTTAAAGCGTTGTGCCCCAATTCACCAGCAGCAGAATTATGCTCCTCTGTATCCACACATGGCGACTGAAGATACCCCACTATAGAAGAAGCTGGAAAACAAGGTGCCCTGTTCAGTACAACCTGTGCTGCAACCAAAGTCTAACAACTCATGTCCTCAAAACTCAGATTCACAGGACAGAAAATATCGATGGCACCACACGATCCAGGAATGTCAGAGGTGTAAGGCCATGAGGTCAGGTTTCCTCATGTTAAGGGAAAGACCATCTACACTTGCCTTTTGTACATGTCTTGGGTTATGAGAGGTGACTCTTGTCACCAGTATTAGACTAGAAGTTCATACTTAAGTACTGTAATACCTCAATGTTTGAGGAGCATGGACTTTTTTTGTAGAAATATATTGTTAATCTCTGTTATGCACCATACTAATTCTTACACCGTGTGTATACTTTAATATGATGCTGATACACAACTAGATTTGATACTTATATTTTCATATGAAAAGGAGTTGTGAAAGTTTTGAGCAGATATTGCTTCATCACTTGTTTGAACTAAGGAAATTTTTGTAAAGAAATGCACCATACAGTACCTGCCTTTTCCTGGCCTGTTTCTTCCAGGTAAAGTATCTGTTAATGTTTGCTGCATAGAACTGGGTAACTGCAAAGTTCTCTGTTCATTTTCTTCCAACGATGTATGTTAAGTGGTGCATCTTATAGCACTTTGAAATACCTCATGTTTCTGAAAATAAACAGCAAGTAAATGATGTGCCCTTTAGGGTTTTTTTTAGATAGGGGTTTTCTCTGTTAGATCCGTTCTGCTCCATAACAGAGACAGAATGACCTGATCCCTGATCCCAGGGATGCAGTGTCTCAGGAAGCAGATGATATTACAAGTAAGGTGACGAGATGGCAACTCTCCGTTTCTGCTACTCGAATCATTGCAATGGGAACAGTTCTTCTGCCTGTTTACATGGCCTATTTCTCCTCTCGTACCATGCTCTCTCAGCAGCCAGCTGAAGTCAGTGAAAAGGCTCCAATTGACGCTGAAAGGTTTTGGATCAGATGCTGCGCACAGAACTCAGTGGGCTTGGACCAATGCTGATTTATGCCATCGTGGTCACAGGATTTCAGTGTTTCTTGAATGACATTTCAAAGACATCCTGGACTTGTTTTGGGTAATTTATCTGGACAATATTTTAATAGTTTCTGCAAGCCCCGACCAGCATGAACGCCATGCTGGAATGGTATTGGAGTGACTAAGAAGCCATGCCCTCTGGGCCAGATTAGAAGAGTGTGACTGTGATTAAACAACCCTTGAGTTTGCAGGGTGTGTATTTATACCAGAGGGGCTATTCATGGATCCAAAGGTTTCTGCCATCCAAGACTGGCAACCCCCAAGGGCTATCTGTGGGGTTTAGTGACTCCCTGGCTTGGCCGACTTCTAGAGGAAACCTAATCAAGGGGTCTCTCACAGGTGGCCCCAGGCCCTGCCTTTCTCAAGAAAGGAATGTGCTTTGCTTGGACCTCAGAGGCTCTGGTTGCCTTTGAGGGGCTTAATCTGACCTTGCTTCTAGAATTTATGCAGTAATGCTCAACAACAGACCTACCATCAATCCTTCCCATCCACATTAGATAGGCTCTGCAGGGCCATCTTCTACAGGATGGTTTGCTGAAAGAGTGTGATATTATGGGAACAGTACAGACACCAGGCAGAATGTGCCCAAAATGGGAGGGGAATGGAAGGAGGCTTCCTTGTCAGACAGTGAATCTTCGCCCAGTGACTTCTCGGTATCTCTACAGGCATCTGGGAAGAACAAGCATTTCAAGGTGCAGCTTGTAGATCATTTCTGTTGTATTGGGCAGTATTGATTTCATACTGTCCCAGCCGCCTGCAGAGGTTATGGCATTGAGAGAATGGCTGCGGGTAGAAAGGTAAGAAAGATTTATTGACTTAACAAAAACACAACTACGCATAGTAACAAGACAAACAATGACAGACAAAAGCAATTTGCGTTGACAACTTATCAGCAGTGCCCACTGATGCCCGATACACAGCAAACTTCTTTCCTCAAAGTTCAGCAAAGTCAGGCATCCCTGAACAGCTCTGTCCAAAGGGTTCTGAGAAGGACCCTGGAATGCAGTCCTTGGGCTCCTCGAGGTCCACGGGCCCACTGATCCAGGCAACAGCCAACTAATCCTTTTCACAGAGCTGTATCTTCCTTCTGAATGGTTTCCAGATATTCCAGCCAATTTAAAGCTTCTGAAATGTTCTGATAATATACAACCACTCAGATTCCTTTTACTTCAACTGTCCTTAGACTGACCAATAGCAGTACAAGCCTTGCATTCTTTTGATAAGGCAATTTTAACTATGCC